GTCAGAATCTTATATCTGTATAATCTAGAGGCTTTAACAGCAGCCTATACTGGAGCAACCTTACTCAATCATGAGTCTGATCATCAGTTGCGTCTTCCAATGCAGGCCCCCTAGCCCAACGCAGCACAAACGCTACTATTTCCACTCTGTTATATATAAATGAAAACACTCATACATGAATGATCTCCCAATAGCGCTCTTGTGATTACCGTATCTTGCTTCAATTCATCTGTGTGAGGGAGAACAAGCCAAAGAGGTCTACTTCTCGACAAGAGCCAGTGATTTCTGCAATACGCGGAGTTGTTGAAACGCGGAGCGACTTAAATGAATTCCACGTCAGCGTGTGTAGATTATTTACTAATCGGTCCATTCGAGACAAAGCCCAGTGGCAAGTTGTACAGACAGTGTGTACTGCCATTTTGAAAGAGGAAGAAAAGCCAGAGAGAAAGAAAAAAGGTTGGGCAGATAGGATGGCCGTCTGGAGAATAGGGGCTCAGTCAGAGATGTTGAATAAGAGCCTCCACCTGAACGCACCACTGCATCCTAATAACTCCTCAGCCCTCCGGAAAAAAAAAAAAAACACCTTATGCTTTAGCTTTCCTCTCTTTCCTCGGCTTCACTCTTATATCCGAGCAGCTGTGAAGGGCACACACCTGCTGCCATCCATCTGCGTTGTGTGTGTGTGTGTGTGTATTGATGTGAGCCTATTTAAAGAGGTCTTGCTGTTGGTTTCTGGGGTTGATTGCTCTGACCGCCAGTATTGTTCATGTGGATTTGGCTGCCATGGCAATAACTACACATGTACATGTACTATCTGGCCAATCACAGTATTGCAGCACAGCACTCCAGCTTCCTGTTGAGCGGGCTTGTGATCGGACAGTCGTCGGCTCTTATCTGCGGAATATAAATGTGTGGGGAAAGTGGATGGGATAATATGTCACTCTTCAACAACTGCTGCTGATGTGCCCTTAAACAAATCACACGATAATAATAATATAAATAATAATACATTTTATTTATAGGCGCCTTTCAAGACACTCAAGGACACCTTACAACACACAGTAAGAGAAATCAAATAAACAGTAGCAACAGAGAGTAATCCAACAAGGCAAATTATACAAAATAAATTAGAAAGAATAACTGCATAAAATAAGTATGATTACACAGAGTGCTAGTTTGAAGATGTGTGTTCTGATGTGGGATTTGAAGAGAGTCAGTGTTACGGATGTGAGTGAAGTAACTCGGCTGAAGGCTCTAAACCCGATGGTAGTCAGAACGTTACAGTCAGGTTAATGGAAGAGGATGATCTAAGAGTACGGGCAGGTGTGCAGATGTGAAGTAGATCATCATAACTCAAAATGATGGCGGTTCTCAGTGTGGTCAGTAGCAGGGGCGTGGCTGGACGACTGACCCCTCTTTGAAATGTTCAGAAAATGTATTCTTTTCTCCAAGTGTTTGGAAAGAATAACGGTGAATTAAAATCAAAGCTGTTGATTGGCTATATCTTGGAAATCTTTGGTTGCCACTTAAACACTGAACGGTAATTCTTCTATATCATCTTCACCAGGTTTTTCCCGTAGTCAGCATAAAAAAAGAAACTGCCAATTCCTTGATGCCTCTGGTGTTTTTTCCACAAACATTCGTTTTTTCTCACACCTTCTTTTCCCCCCTTCTGTTCGGCTGCCAGCGAGAAGTAAAATACACAAATACTTATTCTTTTTGTTATTTTTTTTTTCATCAGATGCTCTTTGTTAGACACCAGTGGAAATTGTCAGAAAAGTAACTGGAGTGGTTGTTTGATGGATTATTTTCCAGCTGAATTGATCATGCTGGGTGTTAGACACTCGACGGTACTCCTTCACACCTATCTGGCAGCTGAAATGAACCACCTTTGTGTACCATACATGAAGATCTGCAGTGCAGGCCCTGCGACAAAAAGCTACTGCAGTCATTTTCATCAAAAGACCCGCGGATCGTACGGGTAAAGAAGGTCGCATTCTTAACATGTTCCAAATTATCCTTCAAAGGGCTGTTGTTCAAAGGAAGCCGCTGTTGTTTGAGCATCAAATTGCTACCTGGCGTTTTCAAAGTTCTTCACTGTCCCCGCTGTTCCTACACCGGGCTCATGGCGGTGGAAGGGAATTAGCAGCGCTTGGCTAGGCAGTATGGCCAATTGACGATGACAGCCCTGAGATATGTGACATGCTTGCCATCCATTCGCTTTCCTCTCCTGCTCCCCTCATCTTACCCCTCTTTATCTTGTCTCCCGCTTGCTTTCCATTTTCTTGTCATTCACTATCCCTGTTCTTTTTTTTTTCCCAATTTTTGTTCCACTGTTCTCTGTATTCTTTTTCTCTTTGTTTTTCTGTCTTTTCACCAAAGTTAGAGTCAGATACTTCTCACAGACAGTTTAAAGCAACAATGACACTGTAGTTTGGATCAACAACTTTCTTTTTGAAGGCCAACTGATAATAGGATAAAATAGATCTCAAAGAGACCTCTCTCTCTCTTTCTTCACTACCCTCAGGAGCCAGAGGAAGACGACATGGTGTTAACACCTGATGGTACACGAGAGTTCATGACCTTTGAGATACCCCTGAATGACTCAGGCTCCGCAGGCCTGGGAGTCAGCGTCAAGGGCAACCGGTCCAAGGAGAACCATGCCGATTTGGGCATCTTTGTAAAATCCATTATCAATGGAGGGGCTGCTAGCAAGGCAAGTAACTACTCCCACCCACCCACTTATCCTACATATTACCTTGATGGATTTCATTGATTTCATTCATTGTTTTTGTTGTAACTCAAGGACCTGCAGTTAAGTACAAAGATGAGGTGGACCACAATGCTGTAGGGCTGCTGCCCTGAGGAAATACTATACATTAGAGTCAAAGCCAGACTGTTTGTGATTTTCAGATGGTCACTTGATGTGTATGAGTGGCATGACAACCATGCTGGGAATGTTGTCCTTGTTCTGTAACATTTTATTATTCCCTTGAAAAACAGATATTGAATTTGAGTCCAGTGTTTGTGAAAGCCATGGGTTTGGTACATTTTGTCCTCCAAGGTCTGCAAACAGAAAATTACAGCATCATTATCTCATTAAATATGTTCCAGTAAAAAATAAATAGGGAAACAAATTTATGATTTTCAGTATCTGTTGTGATTTCCTTGCGGAAAAAGCTACATGTGATCCCAATCAGTCTCCATTAAGTGTCCTTCTGGAGCAGCTGCAGAATCTACATGTTCGTGTTTAAAACTAATGATGATGGTATTCACAAGCGTTTCACGAGCCGGATGTAATGTCCCAACCATGTTGTTTGTCTGCAGGACGGACGTCTACACATCAATGACCAACTCATTGCAGTCAATGGAGAGTCGTTGCTCGGGAAGACCAACCAGGAAGCCATGGAAACGCTGCGCAAATCCATGTCTGTAGAGGGCAACAAGCGAGGCATGATCCAGCTCATCGTGGCCCGGCGGGTGGCAAAAAACAATGAGGTAGCCTAACAGTTGGAGTCACACTGATGTGTCAGGAACTAATTGGCATCACAAGGAGTCAGATTCAATTTGTCTGCCTTTGTTTCATCTTTTGAATCAGATATTATTAATATTATTCTAATTATGAGCCTCCACAATTCTACGATAGACTGTATATTTCACTTTCCCCATGTGCACACACATACAGTATATAGTAAATATTGTTTACACACGCTCCACAAACACACACGCATGCTTCAATTTAAATTCTGTCGGTGAATAAGTAGAAGACATATTGAATGAAGAAGAGGGATGACTACATTTCAGCCGCACTGAATGATAAATGAGAGCGGCTTTCTTCTACCTTACCACTAGCCGTAATCTGTCCCCCATAGGTTTTGGGAGCTTTGAGATAGCTAGAGGAGGACCTTTATGAAGCGACCACACCACCATGCAAATCTTCAAACAGTCCCATTTCCTGTGCGAGATAGGTGATACGTCTCATATTTCCCCTCATTCTCTGTGTGATTTTCTTTGCCCACGGTGGGCCTTGATATGATATCTAAGAAGCACTTCAGTGAGTTATGATTGACAGGCCTGCGGAATAACACTGTAGGATAGGCAGATAAAGGAATATGTATTGCGCTTAGGTGAATATTTGTCATGAGGAAGTGAAGAATATTGAAAGCGAGGGGATTTCAACTTCATGAAATGTCCATTGTGATACAGAAATAATCCCAGCCTACCTTTCTTTAAGAAAAGAACTGTATTCTTTCACAGTCAAAAAAAAACAAGATGAATACAAACATGATTTAGCTGAATGTGAAATGCTAAGTACGGTGCGACTGTACTTCAGGACTGTGGATTCATGTGTAAATACTTCAGCACACTCGCGCACGTTCAGTCAGCCCTGCAGCCAGAGGTTGTAGATCAGGTTTGATTAGTGTTGCTGTGACTCTAATTGGAGCCCGTGTCCTGTGGCTGTGTGTCAGTTTGGAGTACCACGCTGAGCCCCGTCCTCCCTCCCTGCCCTTCACCCTCCCCGCTAACCCTCACCCTCCGAGCGCTGTCTCTCTCTTCTTAACCACACGTTGTCCCCCCTCTCTGCTCTGTGAGCTTTTTCTTTTTTTTTTTTTCTTCTTGTTTTAATATTAATTTTCACCTCAACTCGCGGTGCTCCATATTTGAAAAGGACATGCGATAAACACAGGTATCACTCATAAATTGCCATTAATTTCAGCATTACTGTTTTAACAGTCAAGGCAGTGTTTTTTTTGTATATTTTTTACAATGGGATTATCATGCTTTAATGCACTGAAACATGAACAAATTTATTCTACAAATAATACAAAAGTCAATATTTAAAAATCAATGAGTCTCATCTGTATATTATCTGATGTAAAGAGAGGAGAGAACAACTGTTATTCTAAAACAGGAAGCCGCTGGTTTAATCAGAAATGTGTTTTAGAAACAAAATGTCCCTCACGACAAATTTCAAATGCATTAACTCAAGAACTGTGCACAACTCCTGTCATCATTCAGTCAAGCTCTTCCTTTTGGTCTTATCATTTTAATTTCATGGCCATTAACCCTCCCTCCCGATTCTTCAGTTTTAGTTCTTTCAGTTTTCAGACAGCAGCACTGCGTGGAAAGAATGCAGCCCCCGTCATTCATGTGACACCACTGTGTTGACAGTGGACATCCCTCCATGGTGCCAACACACAGGGATACAGCAAAAGCAAACAAGAAAGAAAGACGCAACTTTTGCTGCAGTGCAATGCAACATAACGCTCAGAGTTAGATTACCTTGTACCGTGTCTCTACAAAAGATAAAATTATTAAAATTCTTCACTTTTATAGGACTTTAATGCTCCAATTTTATAATATATAATATATGTTGTGGTATATTATAAACCCAGACTCCAACCAGACTTCCTGTGTTTTATTTTGTTGTCTTAGTGTCATTGAAGCAACTCAGTCCAGGTTTTTGCATTTCTTAGACGCAAGGGCCTGTTTTGAGTCTTCACACCTCTCTCTCTTCATTCTGCCTTTATCCCTCCCTACCCATCTCTCCCTGCTCCACCCTCTTCCCCCTCCTACCCCACCTCCAGACTAGGGGAGAGGACACATGTCCCTCCCGGGAAAGCTCAGCCCCAAGGTTCAGTGAGTTCTATCACTTCGGTCCAGTCGCTCTCCTGTCCTCTCTAATCCCTCACCAGCAGGCAGACAGGTAGACAGACTGACACTGAGCAGACAGTTGCGGTCACAGGCAAACGCCTCTTGAGAAACAGTAAAAATACACTTTTTTATTATTATTCCACCATCACTCTGTAGGTGGATGAATGAGAGATGACATTTCTACTACAATTCTGATCCATTTAGAGACAATTTGGGGAGAAATTTTGACAAGTCCGTATATAACCTGACATTTATTCTGACATCAGTTGCTTTGACACAGCATATTCATGACGTTGCCGGGAAAGATTGAGAGTGTGTGAAACAAAAGGAGAAGGGAGATGTAATACTGAATTTTAGATTCCATCCATTAAAGTCCCATTACAGGCAATCACACATTGCTTAAGCTGCAGAGTTTTCAGAAAGCTTAGTGGTTTGAAAAGATTCCATAAAGTCACAAGTGAGAAGTGTAATACACTCGGACTGGAGAAAAGATAAGATTTCTAAATGAAGAATTTAAGGTCAGTTGCATACCTCGAATAAGGAAAGCAGAAGTTAAATGTCGATACAGGCTCCCGGCAGCTACATCTACCCCCCAACCCCCCACACCCCCAAGCCCTCCTCCGTCTCCCCTGCTCTGCTGTGTTGGCCAGGCAGATTTGTGGCAAGCCAGCGCCAGTTTGCCACTGTCACCCAGCCGAATGGGAGTGAGCACTGGAGGCCACCATTGAAATGAATCAGATCCATCACTGTCTGCAGGGGAGAGGAGCCGAGCAGTACAGCCTAATGCATCAGAGGCGAGGACTTAGATGGGTGCAGCATATCCAGGCCACCTCACTCCATGAAAATTGCATTGATTTCATCATCGCTTGGTCCTGTGGGCTAAATGTATGATCATCTTTGTTAGAGCAGAGCAGCGTAATGTTTCTTGGTAGTTTAAGCTTGTTTGGTTTGGTGTGTGTTCGCAAAGCTAAAACTGCACAACAGGCAGGAAGGGAAAGGACCGTGTAATGTATGGATGTGAACAGGAAACACCTTCATGGAAATGTGAAATAAACCATGTGACCACCCAGAGTAGCCCCCTCACAGGCACGCACACACATAAATGCATTGCCTACAAACACACACACACACACACACACACACACACACACACACAAAAACTTCTACACATTCCTCAAGGTCTCTCAGGAGCCCATTTCCTTTCAGCAGCACTTCCAGACAGATCCTCTCAGTGGGCAAAGACAAGTGTTTCACTAGGCTGGTTCATGCTGCTGATTGCCCATGGTTAAGCGCGTGTCTGAGGTGGAGTACCTGGCCTATATTTGCTGCCGTTAAAGCAGTGGCAATAAGTGGCCTTTGCTTTAGGATATAATACGACCTTTGATTAAAGAAAAAAAACACTTCAACTTGATTGAGGATATATTCAAGCCTAATAAAAAAGTCTGCCACACTTCTGATGGGGGATATTTTTAATGTAGCACAAACCCAGAAGGTCTCCCCCCGTGGGCCTGATTCAAAATACGACAAGTGTGGACTCTCACTGCCCTTATCCACGCGGTAAAAGAACTAATCTTAATTTGATGAGGAAGACTCAGCCAGCTCGTGGGATAGCAGTGAGTTGAGGATGCAGCAAGATCTTAAGTCAGAAGAGCTGATGAAGTCCGTTAGATCAGTAGCAAAATGTCTCCAGCTGCTATGGGAAATCCTAACACCGATACCTTTATACTGCATTTGATGTTTAACCTAAAACAAGACAAAGGTAGGCAGAAAAAATTTCATAGCATTTGAATATGCTCAGTACACACACGAGCACAGACACCCACATACACACACTCAGTACCAGAACAATTAATTCCCCCCTCTGTTCCGGTCATGCAGATAGCCCCCGTTTGAAAAACCACCATTCTGCCCCAGATAGTCGGGCGATATGATTGGTCACCGCCAGTTCGTTTGAAGCATTGTAATTGCATTGCTGCTTCAGAGGCTGTGTAATTTCTCCTCTGTATCTGCGTTCTATTAATATATCAGCACATGTGTTTAAGCAATTAAATTTATGGAAAGTCATTTTGGTTCCTCTATTTATTTATTTATTTATTTATTTGGTCACATTTCCTGAATGTCCTCCCTCTTTCATGTTATTAGCGCAGCAGCTGATCCTCAAGTCGCAAACCCAGAGTCCTGTGACTGAACCAAATCTATTTCGGTTGTTTGGTTGTAAGATTTTAATTTCAACTTTCTTATAGTTTTAAAATTTGACATGTATTCATTCTTTTATTAAACCTGACATCTCTGTCGGTGCCACTCATGTTTTATCACCATTTGTTTTGTGACAATGTGACGACACACTCATGCACGTGCTTTTCTGGAAGCGCGGCTGTTGTTTTCCGCCCTATAAATCTTAATGATACAGTAATTACGCATTAGACGGGCGAACCTGCGACAGCAACTTTCCATCGGCTTGAAAGTAATTTCCTCGCAAATGTTGAATGTTGAGCAAAGTGTGGCAGCGAGGTGAGAGGTGGGATGGATAGACAGCAGCCTAAATAAGTGTGGAGTGTGTGACATAAAGACCTAATTATGTTTTTGTTTTGTTTTTTGTTTTTTACAATTGGTAACCCACAATTCTCTGTACTGAGCTCACTTTAGTACCAGAACACTGACAACATCTGTCTCCCATCAGTAACACTTTGTCACTCAAAACACAACACGCAGGTAGCACGATAATATTGATCACTATTATCTTTGCAGTATCTTTTATGTAGCACAAACCAACCCACATATGTCATAGAAATAGTTGTAAACTTAAGTTACAAATGTATTACAATAGTAAATAAACATGCAAAATA